CCTTTTTGTAGAGTGAAAAAACATAACAGCTTTTAATTCCGAATCCTTTAATTCAAATCCTTTTTTTAAACAGATAGAAAAGACACCACATTTTAGGTGAAACTGTTCAACAACTTAGTTTTGAAAGTTGTTTGGAATTCTGTAACCAAGAACTGTTTTTAAGGAAACAAAAATGCCATGTAATTACAGTTTGTACTTCACCTCTGGCGTTTGAATAAAAGCGAATATTCAAGCAGTAGCGAGTTGTCATCCCTGACGCCATCCCCAGGTATTTCGAGTTTTAGGAACTTAAGTTTTAAGCGGAGCGAGAGGCGGGTGGGGCGGGTCCTCCGGGCCGCCAGGGGGCGCTGTGGCCGCGGCACCACTGTCATGGCGGCGGGCGCTGAGGGCTGCGCTGAGGCGCTGAGGGCTGCGCTGAGGCGCTGCGGCGGCGCTGTCGTGGCGGCGGGCGCTGAGGGCTGCGCTGAGGCGCTGAGGCGGTGCTGTCGTGGCGGCGGGCGCTGAGGGCTGCGGCGGGATCATGGCGCAGCCGCCACCTTTACCCGCCCGCCTCCCGCCGCCCTTCCGCGCCTTCCCGCCGCCCTTCCCCGGCCCCGCCGTCCGCCCAGCGCCCTTCGCGGTGGGGCCGGCGGCACCCCCGCCTTTCTTCTTGCCGCCGCCGCCTGCGGGTGAGGGGGGACCGCGCTTCCCGCCGGGCGTCCCCTACTTAGCGGCGGCCGCGCCGCGGGCAGCGGCCGAGGAGGAGGCGGTGCAGCGGCAGCAGGACGAGCTGTGGCTCTCGCAGTTCCTGGGCCGCCGCCGCGCCGCTCCCCCGCCGCCGCCGCCGCCCGCCGCCGCCAGCCCCAGCAGCGCCCGGGCGCTGGCGGTGGCGGCGCTGCGCCGGGTGGCCCGGCTGACCGCGCTCTGCCGGGCCCTGCGGGGCAGCGAGCAGCGGGGCGACGAGCCGGGCTGGGCCCGGGCGCGGGAGGAGGCGGAGGCGGCGCTGCGGGAGCTGCGAGAGGTCGTGAGGCCCCTGCGGGAGCCCGGGTGCGGCGAGGCGCTGCGCAGGAAGGCCGAGAGGGCGAGGAAGAAGAGGCTGCGCCTGCAGAGGAGGAAGCACGAAGCCAGGGCGGCCAGGGAAGAGGAGGCGGCCCGAGCCGCCGAGCGGGAGGCCAAGATCGACCAGTGGCGGGCTAAGTGCATCCAGGAGGTGGAAGAAAAGAACCGGGTATGGTCCCCAGTGCCTGGTCCTGCCTCTCCCCGGGGCTCCAGGACAGCGCGGTGGGGCAGGGCTGACCCGCCGGTAGTGGGGTCACGGCGGGCTGTGCCTGCCCCACACCTGCCTTTGACTCCCTTGCTTCACTGAGGTGCTGCACGACTTCAGCCTACTGAGAGACGTGCTGTTTCCAAGGTCTGCAGCCCTGCTTCTTGCTTAGAAGTCTTGGTGGGCATCTCGGTTTTGCCATCCTCATATTCTACGCCTTGACATGAAATTGGGGTTTAAGTTGTTTCTGAACTCCTGGAGGTTTTCCTCTCTGGTCCCAAGAGTCAGCCTGTCCACACAGCTACCATGTGGTGATCTGTGCTGTTTCAGTATCCATCAGCCTTGCTTCCTGCTTTCATCCCTCTAAGGCTTGTGGTTTACAAGATTTTTGATCTCATGGGGAAGTAAAACATCTCCAAAGCAAAAAATACCGCCTCAAATTAGACTGGGAAGTGCTGTAGGCACCTTTCTGTTTGTTTTTGGCTAAACTCCCTTTTCTGCTGTTCTACTGCTGGGATGGTCCAGAGCAGCTGCTGAGGAAGGGTTTGTGGTCAGACTGTGGCAGGTTAATGGTCTTAATTGCAGAACTGTGGAATTGGGATGGCTTCTGTTTATTGTAAAGTATTTGCCCTAAATTTCTCTGGTTAAAGGTTCTCAGGCTTTCATAATTTATAAATCATCTAGGAAGTGTTCAAAAATGTGTGGATGTGGCACTTGGGGATATGGTTTGGTGGTGACCATGGTGGTGGTTCTGGATTGACAGATGGACTTGATCTTTCCCAGCCTTAACAACTCCATGATTCTGTGATTTGGCCCAGATTTATAAGTCCCACAGCATTATTTATTTCTTTTCTGAAGTCTGTGGTATTTTAGCCTTTTTTCATAAAAAGTCAGGGCTGGATGGTTGACTTGACTTGTTTCTGTTATTGTGAAGTCACTCTGCTCTTCAGTGCTTTGCTAATGTCTGAAAATACCATTTTATTTGCGTCTTTGAGGAATATTTCACACATCTCATCTGTTTTTTTCCTTCCTTGCCTAGGAGCAAGAGCTGAAGGCTGCTGCTGACAGTGTCCTGTCTGAAGTCCGGAAGAAACAAGCAGACACTAAGAGGATGATGGACATCCTGCGCGGGCTGGAAAAGCTTCGGAAACTGAGGAAAGAAGCTGCTGCCAGGAAAGGTTCATTACGAGATTGGTCTAAACTTTTATAATTGCACACACAGGAAATAAGATGAGGGTGCCCTGTGCTGACTAGCAAGGCACAGCTTCAAAAAGCTGTGTCTTCATTGTGATTTTAATTACAAGAATAGGTACAAAGTGCTGGTTTCAGTGGTTGTGTTCATATGTTTCCAAGATCTTTGTGGAAGAAGGATTATTCCAGTGCGAATTCTGTCTGTTAACAAGGTTAAGCTCATGTTCCTCTGCCAGTTTACAAGCTCTGCTCTCAAGTCTGGTATCAAGCCCCCTTCTGAATCTGAAAACTTAAAATCACTTCTGTTTCTGTTTAGGTGTTTGCCCACCTCCTTCAGCAGATGAAGCATTTGAAAATCAGGTGGAGAGTCTCCAAACATTGCTCAAAACTCGCACAGAACTTTATGAAGCTGAGGAAAGAGCATTAAGGGTTATGCTGGAGGGAGAACAGGAGGAGGAAAGGAAGAGGGAAATGGAAAAGAAACAGAAGAAGGAGAGGGAAAGACTACTACAGCAGAAACTGGAAATTGATTCTAAGCTGTTTGGGGATCCAGGTAAATTCTGCCTCCTGTTCTTAACAGTGTTTTTCCACATCACATCCCCATCTCACAGACACTGGATTTGAAATGCAGGCACAGATCTAGTTGAGAAAGGAATCATCCACTGGAGTAATTTGTGGTCTTAGAATGAGGGATAAACATAGTGCTGTTAACACCTGTGGTGTAAGAGGAACTGTTGCACTCTTCAACATGGACTGCAGCACATCTCAAGCTGTTTTCATGTTGTTTTGCAAGAAGAGGTTGTAGATTAAACTGAAGTGAGAATAAACAGAATAGGTTGAATACTTCCAGAACCATAGATGCTTTAAGCTAGTGCTTTGGTAAGTGTAACTCAGGTAATCTGTAAAGATTCAGTATTCATATGTTCCCCTTTTTTAGATGGTGGAGTCAGGAGGTTTTGCTAGTCTTGGCTTTCCTCTGACAGCTGTGGTACAGACCAGGAAATGTGTAACACATAAACAGTGTTTCATATATTACTTATGGACCTGATGTCAGATTACATCTGGGCAGTAGCAAATGATTTTGCAAATTATGGGCTAGAATGGAAGGTTTTTCTGGATTATTAAACAATTTCTGTGTCTGTGTTTTTACAGCTGAATTCCCACTCGCCCATCTACTGCAGCCTTTCAGAGACTACTACTTACAAGCTGAACATTCAGTAGCAGCTCTAATCCAGATCAGGTAAAACCAAAGGAAGTATTTTATCATCAGGGAAGACAAACACTGTTTTTTGCAATTGTAAATTCAGTGCCCCTTTTGGTTTGTCAGCTTCCAAATATGGTTATGCAATGGATTGTTCTGGTTTTTTTCAAGTTTCATGCTTGAGTCATATCCAACAGATGCCCATGTGAGGCAGAGTGTACTTCCATACATAACCATTCCATTTAACACCAGAACATTGAATTTTCACATTTGTCTTTTGAAAAACAAGTTTAAGAGTACAAGTATTGTGGATTTTGTATCGATCAGTAACGTCTATGTGGGTGTGGAAGTCTTACCACCAAATTAATCCCAGCTCTCCTCTCAAACAACACTTTCTCTGTTAAAGGCATGAATGGGATCAATACCTGGTGCCAGCCGACCACCCCGAAGGAAGCTGCATCCCTCCAGGATGGGTTCTCCCAAGTCTCCCCACCAATGACACTTGGGCCACTGCTGTCAGATAATTTCGCAATAAATTATTCCAACGTTGGGGGATTGTTTCGTTATAATTACGTGTAAATATGAGAGGGTCCAAAGAGGAAGTCTCGTCCTCTGTTTCAGCAGCCAGGTATTGGAATGTCTTTACTGCAACATCTTGAAAAAAAGTTTTAAGAATTGTTTTTGCTGATTGGCTGTGCAGGGAGATAGCTGAGCAAGCCCAGAGCTGCCAGGCCTCTCGTGGTGTGGAATTACAATCCAGCTGCGAGTTCGTGTTAAATCTCAATCTTAATAAAGGAACATTGCTGATGGTGGTATTTGTGCCAGTATTAACATCCTATTTTTAGTGGCTATTATCTTTATAAAGGATGATGAAAACTTCAGAAATGAAGAAATTAAAAAAAAAAAAGAAGAGGTCATTAAGTAAACATGTTTTTCTTCTGAAATGAAGCATGACAAGCATCACTGTCAAAATAATTCCTGTATTTTGGGGTGTAGAAACAGACCTATTGCAAGTTTAAACTAATTCTAAAGTACAAACAAGACAGGGTTTCTCAAGGTTGATTAAAGCAGCTGTTGACATTTTACTTTTGTGGACTAAAGCTGATACCAAAACATGGAAAAAATTCCCAGTTGTGGTAAAATAGGTCAGACAGCCATGTGAATAAATACAAATTTGATGAATAAGCCTGCTGGAAAAAAAAACCTAATAAAATCTGAGGTCTAACCTACTGTGTTTTGACTATATAGATATTTTTGTATAGGGACATATCATCTCTATCATATTTGATTAAACATAACAGCTTTATTTTGTAAGCTGGTTGTTTTGTACAGAACAAGTAGAGAAAAATGGATTTTTGTTTAAAGCATTTTCATGCTAGGGAATAGATTTGTTTGAATGCTTGCATCGAATACAACTCCAACAGGGAGAGAATTGTTGGGAAAAGGTTTGTGTGAAGGAACTCCCTCCTGCAAAGTGACAGAGGTGACACCTGATATCAAAGCTTTCCATGTTCTGGACAGTTTGCTTGGAACTGTGATGGGCCATATGGATTTGGAGCTTTGCTGTTCTGCACAGATTGCTGTGGCACCTTTCCAGAGCTTCAGTCCTTATTCTTGCTTAGCTCCAGTGTGTGGGAATCGAGTTAATCTCTCCAGTGCTTTGCCTCTGGGCGTCACAACCGTGCGTAATTCACGTGTGTCATCGCCTAAATTCAGTACTTGGGCCTTAGGTGTCATGTTAGTGGTGTCCTGGCTGAACCTTTGCACTGGTTTTTGTCAGTAAGAGACATTAACTGGTAGTTCCTGATAGAACATGAGTGCAGAAGTTTGCAGTTCTTGCTCACCTGTAGCACCCCAAAATACAGATTGCCATGAAGTTCTCTGCAGCTGGTGTTCTGATTTGCTCCTCTCTACATCCTCCCATCCCTAATGTCCCTTCTAGTATCTCATTACTCCAAACCCAAGGTTGAGTCAGATCCTGGGGAGTCTTCCCTGATGAAAACACACAAGATCAAATATAAAAATAAAAACAACTGCATAAAACAATACAAACTCAGCACTTTCAGTTCAGGCAGTTTAGTGACCAGAGGATGCTCTGCTTAAACAATTAAACAAAACTCCTTATCCCATCAGCATGTCTGATGGAACAGGCCAACTGCTTAAGCTATGATTATCTTAAAGCTGTCCAAGTCAGCTGCTTGTCTGACACTGCAGGAATTTAAAGAGCTGAGCAGTAGATAAGGAGGCAGCAAAGCAGCAGCCCTGTTCTCCCTGTCCTGCAAGGAGAGAGCTCCATGAGTTCATCTGATGGTAAGGACAGCTTCATATTGCTAATAAACATAGGGCTTGAAAATGCCAGGGGAGGATCCATCTTTAGGTGTGTTCTGTATATTTGCTCCTGTCTGATGATGTCTGCATTAAAATGTTTAATGGCTTTAGTGAGGAAGTTGTTGAAGCCATAGATGGGGAGGAACATTTAAAATCTCAACTCTTAAAATACATGGACACAGGGTATTAAATTAAAAAGTGTGTGTACAGACTCAACTCCCATTTTTCTGAGCATAGTATTTCCCACTGTTCTTGAATTTTAAAAACTTACTGTAGCTCAGAAGAAGAGAGAGGTTGGCTGTGAGTTTCCAAGATTCACTTGTATCCTATTCCTCTCCTGGTCTTGGTGCAGTTTGTGGTTTTCTTGCTGTTTAGGTATATCCTCTTCCTGATGTGAACTGGTTTGTGCACTGGCAAGTGTCGATGTGAAAAGGGGCAGGGTTGGTGTGGAGAACATGAGGTCAGAGCCCTTGTAGGAGTTCCCTTCAGGTGGGAATTGGTGTTTATGACTGACCCTCTTTTATCCTCTTCTAGTAGCATTTTTGTCATGGTTACTCCTGCCCCAAAGTACTTCCTGTTTTCTAAACTGTTGTTTTGGGAATTAACACTTGTGTGAGTCTCTCTTAAAGCACAGCATTTAGGCAGTGAAATACAGAGAGGTACAATACCATCATCTTCTGATATTTTCTTTATTGTGGCTTCAAACACACTCACTACCCATCACCATCCCTTAAAGTATCATTTGAACTTGAGTGGAGCCACTCTGGGTGACAGATGCTGAGACACAGCTTTCCTCAGCACCCTGGGATTTTGGGAAGAGCCAGTTTACAGCCCAAGCTGCAGGGAAGGTCAGTCCCCCCCTGCATGCAGGGAGCAGCAGAAAGCTGAGGGAAGGTGGCTTTGCTTACAGATGTTTTCAGGCATCACCTTTGTCAGTGCTGACGTGGGTTGTCCCTTAGGCTGAGCCCTCCTAAGCTGAGCAGATGGCCTGGCTCCACGTGGGATCCCAACACGTTGCCTGTGTTGCATATTAGTGGCAGGACATGTGCAGGAGCACAAAGCTCGTTAGGGGCTCTGCTTGTGCAGGGATATCAAAGGCTCCTGGTGTAAGCAGGCAAAGTGACAACCCTGTTGTTATTCTGGTACAACCAGCTGAGTTGCCCAAGTGATTGTGCATGTTGATTGTGTGTGTCACTTTATCTGCCTGGAAGCTCTTTGTGAGTCCTTTGTCAACACAGGAAGCTGCCCTGAACCCCATCTCCCATTATAGGCTCTTTATTTTTGCTTTAAACAGGCAGTTTTATCATCCTTGTGTATATTCTTCTGCATATTTCCTTTTAGTGGAATGTTTATTCTTGTTGTCATAGAAGCTGTTTGTTTTTAAAGGAAAAACATAATTGGGAAAAGCACTTAGGGATGTCACACACATATTTACTGTGTGACCTGAGAATGAGTGCTGAGGACTTTGGGATGAGCAGGCACATGCTGCCAGTACCAGAACTTGGTGGAAGACTGGCTACCAGCTCCTAACAGTTTATAAAAGAAGTGATTTTACACACTGTCATCACTGGGAAGCTGAGAGCTCGAGGCTTCATGCAGCAAGTAATGGCTTTTCAGTAAATTGAGACATTTATAGAGACCTGATGGCGACACTTGAAGTAGTATTTTCCCTGAGAGCATTCCCAATTCACCAGCAATTTTTCTCTCCCCTGCAATTCCTGATCTAAAACCATCACCATACTTAAAATGAATGCATGGTTCCTAAAAGCTAATCTTAGAAATGGCTTGACATCCTTCTAATTCCCAAGCTTGCCTGATGCACCTTTTGCTTGCCTGGCTCCCAGTAAGCTGCTGCAGTGCCCGAAGGAATGCCCTCACCCAGCTCCCTTGGGATGCTCTGTATGATGGCTTAGCTGCACGAGGCCATGTGCATGAGCTCTGTCACCACAGGTTGTGCAGACATGGGACACCTGCAAGGTGTCCTCCTTGGCTGTGCTTTCTCCCTCTGTAACTGGAAAAAGTGCTCAGTCATCCCCAGCCTGGGGAAGGGAGCGTGCAATGGCACTAGAGGGAGAGGGAGAGACAGGAGCGATGGGAAGCAGCAGGGCAAGCATGGAGGAGAAAAATGCTCAGGATCTCTGCCAAAGGAAGCCATAAGCTTGGTCAAGTCCTTCTGGCTCAAGCTGAGAATAGCAAAGGTTAGTTCAGACAAAGCTTCCTGATGTCAGTAATTAAGATTTTGCCAATCTGTTTTTACCCAGCTCGTCTTTCTCTCCTTCCAGCCAGCTTAAGAGATGCTCTTACAGTTTCTGTTTCCCTTCCTCTAGCAGCAAGAAATCAGGCAGCAGCAATGAACTACCTGGATGAAGTTCCCTTCCGGACAGCCATGAGCCTCAATGGGGACTCAGAGGGAGAAATCCCTTTAGTCACTGCCCCAGACATTGAGCTCCCTGACTGCACCGACATCCTCATGAGCACCATGGTGAGTCCACACCCAAGTCACTGCTGGGGGATGCTCAAAGGGATGTCAGCAGTGTTCCCATGAAAGCAGGGAAGGGAAACCACCTAACTGATCACCTCTTCACTGGCTGGTTTGCAGCAATATTGGGAGGAGGTGAGGATGATTAGTGGTGTGTGGCAGTGATGATGGGGTTGGTTTGGGGTTGATTTCTAAAAATCCTTTCCAAGAAGTAAGGTTAGGGTTTTCTGGGATAGGAGGACAAACTTCAGGCTCTGCTCTGGGGTTGTTTTCTACTTTGGAGTTATCACTGTCTCATTTATTAATAATATTTATTAAATATTTACCAATAAATCTACCAGCTATAAGCAAGCAATACTACCTGTGCTGGAAGCATATATATATATATATGCACCCGGTATTTCTCCCTATTTAGCGATGATCTGATGTTCCCCTCTGAGGCTAAACCATTGTGCTGCTGGTCCAGCCTGATCCTTATGGAGGGATGTGAGGGTGTTTTCCTTGGGGAAGCTGATTTGGGTCCACAGCTGACCCAAGTGGCAAGAACAGTAAAAACAGCATTCCTGGGCTGTGAATGTACTTGCCTGCCTGTCAGGAGGAGACCTTGTTTGGAGAGCTCTGGGACAGGCAAGGCTTGTTTGTTCCAGGAAAACCCTCAGATTTCAGTCACAAACACACTTATATTTTAAGCTGAACTATGTGGAAATGACAACTCTGTTTGGGGACCAGCCGAGACCCTGGCGCCACTAGATAATCTCATGGCTGGTTCTGCTTCTGCCTGAGGTGGCATCTCCCTCTTGCTGGCTTCAGAGCCCCTGAAGTGGCTCAGAAGTGGGTCACAAAAAAACTCTGCCACCATTCTGGGGACAGCCCATCGCTGGATGCGGTGCCTCTATGCAGCTGCCTAAAATTGGGATGTCTGCACACTCCTGCCTCCCACAGTCAAAGGGACACAAACACCTCCAAGCATAAAATACTTCTCCAAAGAATTGTAGGTGCAACTCACAATAGTGACTTCATAGATAAGACTTTTTTGAAGTATAAATTTGGGGATTCCCTACAGAGATGAGGCTGGCACTACCCAATCCTACTGCCAGCCCTAATGCTCAGGGAAATAGGAGCTGATATGGGAAGGCTGCAGCCCTTAAGATGCCTTGTGGAGTGCACGGATTGCTCCATGCCACGCACTCTGGGTTCTCATCTCCTCACCCGCTGCCTCTCGCTCTTCCGCAGCACGACTTCTCACTGGAAAGGAAAGTGCTGTACTGGGTGGAGGTGGCCTCTCAGCAGCAAACCTCCCGCCATCGAGTCACCTCTGAAGTTGTCCCCACGGCTCCCCCGTGCTGGCTGCTGCTGGTGGACCCCGCTGACAGCTACGGGGGGCGAGGTCGGGACGGGGCAGTGCGGCGCTCCATCAGCCTGAGCGCTGCCGACAGCTCCTACGGGCACGCCAAGGGCAGGGTGGTCCTGTCCGACACCGAGAGTGACACCTGGCACTCGGAGGAGGGCGAGTACTCGGATGATGAATACTCCTCCACCTCTTGGGAAGAGAATGACAAGGATGAAACGCTCCTCTCCAGGAGGAGAAGCTCTGCGAGAAGTGTGTCTTCACGCACTGGCTTTTACCAGACCCGACCAAAGACATCACCGGGCTTGCTGGAGCCCTCACCAGAGAACAACATCCACAGCCCAGCCAGCCCAGATCCCAGCAAGCAGAGAAGATCCATGGTGATATTTAACAATATGAAGAACGAGCTGGGAGCTGCCAGGAGGAAGCTGGCTGCTTTGGTGCATCCTTTGAACAGAGCTGCCACAGGGAGCAGGGGGATCCTGGTGCCAAGGCTGCTGCCCCAGTGCCCTGGCACCAACCACAGCGTCAAGTACGGGCCAGATCCTGATGTGTCCCAGCAGAGCACCAGTGTGCCAACTCATCCGGCCACAGCCACACCGATTCCTCCCATCAAGCAGCACAAGCCCACAGTACCGGTGAGAAGCTTCCTTTGTTCATCACTGGGAGAGGAGCAAGGTGGGGGGCATCGAATTGGTCTCATTTGATGAGGGTTGGCCAGCAAAAAGGAAGCAAAATGGGGCTTTAGAAACACTGGACCCATGAGGAATTGCTGAAGTTTTCATGAGAAGTGAAGAAAGGGTTTGATTTTGCCACTGAGGTTGAAAGAAGCTTTCTGGGAGCACATTTACTTTCTCTGTCCAAAACATCTGTGTTTTTCCCAAGCAGGGTCTAATCTGATTTTCAATTGAAACACTAAAAGAAGAGTGAAATATGGAGGGATTGTCCTCTTTTTGCTACATTATCCCATTCTAACAGATAAAAGTGGGGTTTATAGGAAAATGTCCCCTTACAGTCTTTTCTAGGAAACTTTGGACTGCATAGTCCTACTAGAAATACAGATCATTTAGTGATAGAGACAGTGATGTGAAAGGATGGAGTAAATAGTACTCTGTCAACTTAAATCTGAATTGCACCCTGCTTTTAAGAAATTGCATATAATTCAGCTGCTTGAGAGATGTAGGAGATGAATTACTGAAAACTTGCAATAAAAGCATTAGACACTTGAATTACCAGGTTATTTATATGCAGTTGCATTTGACATGGAGTAATTAAGGAGAGATTAAATGCCCATATGTATTTGTACAACATCCACCTTGAACATTCTTTTGTGATCTGTATCTCTAGCTGAGCCTGGATTTAATCCAGTCTCATTTGATGCTTATTTGATGTTCCTTGTATGGCTATTTTCCTCTTCTGGAGAGAGCAAGGTAACCATCAGTATTCAGAAGCATTGCCTCACCCTGGGTTGTTTCAGCTCATTCCATGACCTGGGGCAATAAGACCATCTGGTTTTTTCCTTGCAGTCCCTCAGCCCCTACACTTGCCTCCCCCCTGCCTCCACGCCTGGACGACCTCTCAGCTGCCACAGATCCCAGCCAGATTCCTCTGCTGACCTGCTCTCTGCGCTGAGCCAAGAGGAGAGAGACCTCATCGAGCCCGTCATAGCCCTGGGCTACCCCACCCAGAAAGCCATCCTCACCCTCCAGAAGACAGGAAGGCAAAGCTTAAGTCAGGTTGGTAGAGCTGGCACAGCATTGTGAGAAACTTTTGGTAAAGGAAAGCTTGATTTTCATGGAGAAAGGAATGGCTGTCTTCTGTGGGGTAGATTTTTGAAGGCTTTGCCTTTCCACTTTGGTGTCAGACCACAGATGACAGGATTTTCCAAGAGATTATACTTTTGCTGTAATAAAATAGCAATGAGTTGCCCTTAGCTTCTCAGTGCATAATCACGGCTGGTTTGTTATCTGTTCAATCTGTTGTGTGAAGCATCATGTCCTTTTGAGGCACAAATTTTGCCCCCATATATGGAAACTTTTTGCACATCATTTTTCCCAGCTGTTGGATTCGTGTGATTATTGCCATGGCTCATCCTGTCAGAACGGGACTGTAGGAATACCTTGGAGATTTGGTTGGGCTCTCTCCAAAACACAACTTTCCTGTGCTGGAGCAAGCAGGGAATCCCTGCAAACATTGCAGCGGAGTCCCAGAGCTCTTTTCCCAAGGAACCCTCTAAAATAACCTGAAATTTATTGAAAATACTTAGCCTGCAGCCTCCTCCTACCCCTGGTATGTGAGTACATCCCTGCCTGCTGTGCTGCATCCTCATTCCCAATGTCTCTGGTTGTCCAGATGAATGCCAGAAAGGTCCAGGTGGCCTCAGAGGCTCATGACATGAGGCAAGCTGCTGCCTTTGACTCCCTTGGCAAACTTGGGGCTGGACCTGCCCATCCCAGAGAGGAATTTAGGGCTAAATTATCCAAGTAGTTATTGCAAAGAGAGAAGGGTCTTAATCACAGCTGAGCAAGAAGAATATCCATGAGGCTGTCAAGCCAGGGAGCAGGAGCAGATCCTGGCAGGACATGAGCAGGCAGAGCACTGAGCAGCTGCTGCCAGCTGCCAGTCTCCTTCCCATTCCCCTGGGAGCTGCCTCTGCTGCGTGGGCCACGGAGCTGCTCTGTGGCTGGGTCATCCTGCAGCTTCCAGCTCCCTCCTTACTCACCCCAGCTGGACCAGCTCCCCAGAGCTCGCTGGAGTTTCAGGTGAGCTGAGGTGGGAAGGGAAGCTTTATGTCTTCAGTCCATAGAGGTTTCAGCTAGGCAGAGCCCAGCCCATCTTGTTTCATAGAGCCATGCGAGGGCGTCTTGTAGCAGCTGCTGGCTTTAAAATGAAGAAGCAGTGTGTCTTATTAAGGGTGGAAATGGGTACAGCCTGTTCCCTTCATATAAACACCAGGACTCCCACTCCTTGCAGCACTCCCTACTGCACCAAAAGACAAGGTCTGCCTTCTTCATCAGCAGTTCCCATTTATGCCCAGTGCAGCCAAGATAAAGCATGATTCTTAAACATCTTTTACAAGTACCAAACTACCAAAGTAGTCTAAATCTTCCTGGAAAATATGTTCCAGCTGAAGTTAAAAAGAAGACCTGTGCTCTTTATTGCTTGCTGTTGATACCTGAGGTTTCGATGTGTGACAATGACGACTTAAACTGTGAGGACTGATGGAAGTACTGGATGGTAGCCAAAAATTGCTCAACTTCCTTGCAGTGTCAAGTGAAACTGGCAGAGCCCACTCTAATAGAGGAGGCAAGGCCTTCTGTAGCCTTCTTTAGAAGCAATGCTTTCCTAATTTTGGTGGAAGAACTTCTCTGAAAGTCTCAAGCAGGATTAATTACCTCAGCATGCCAGAGGTTCATCATGTAGGATGTCATGGCCAAAAAGGCACCATTGCATTTTGATCAATGATCAATTTAAAATGCATCATTGGTCCATGGAGCCCTCAATGTACATTTAAGCTGAGACATGACAAAAATTGTAGCTGGTCAGTGTTAAAAAAACTCTTCTTGTTTAGTCTTGAGGATACACACACACACACACACACACACACACACACACACACACACACACATATATATATATATATATATATATATATATATATATATATATATATACATGTATAATATTTTTAGTGATAAAATAAGTTGAGTTAACAAAGGCATTGATTTCATGCTGGGCTTGACCAGGCTGCCAGGACTATCTGTGTTATGCTGTGCGTGAGTGGCTGTTCTGCCACAAGAGGAGAAGAAAACACAGCAATGATCTGGGGTTGTCATTAGCCTGATAACAAGGGAAAAAACATGAGGTGAAGAATGCAAATGACCAGTGACTGTCTCCTTTCTGAGTTACTGGGATGTAACAGCCTTAAGGCTGATATTTCTGAAAATCCCTACTTGACTGTTCAGCCAAAATAGATCAACTCAATGTTTGAGAGACTTTTTTGTCTTTTTCATATGTTTTATGGCCTTGCACTGAGTCCTTCTCCTTGTCTAAGGCAGTGCTGGGGAAGGTGGAGGTCTGTGTGCTGGTAAATCCGGGGAGAAATAAATCAGCTTCTCCTTGGTTGGAGAAGCTTTGGAGAGACCTATGGGATGTTTTTATTCCCCTTACTATTGTATAGCTCATTTATTACTGCCTGTCCCATATGTTTTTGGACAGTGAGTGATTCTTGCGATATTTAAAAGGTGCTGCTGGGAATTGTGCTGTCAGCACTCCAAGAACAACAGGAAAGCCAAAAATAACTGTTTACTTTCAGTAATGACAGCACACAGGTCTCCCCTGGGGAGCAAACCCACGGGTGCCTGAACCCCTTTGCATCAAAGGGATGCGGGGTCAGCTGAGTGAAGTCATCCCAGCGGGACAGGCTCTGCCTCACCCCGGAGGCCATCGCTCTGCATCTCCAGTGTTCACATGTTTGGTTTCCTCCTTGTTCCCATTCCCACCCTGGGAAGGTGAAGGTGGACCAAGACGTTGTCTCCCACTGGAAATCCTGCAGACAGACAGACAGACCTCCCTGGCTGAGCATTAGATGGGAACTGGCAAGTGGCTCATGTACCCTCCATGGTGTGTCCCTGGGAGGTGACAAGGGGGCTCCTGACTGGCCTTGCTCCCCATGCCTGCAAGGCTGGATTAACCTGTCTGTCTTCCTCTGCAGTTCCTGAGCTACCTGGGTGCCTGTGATCGGCTGCTGAAGCAGGGCTATGAGGAAGGGCAGGTGGAGGAAGCCATGGAAATGTTCCAGTACTCAGAGAAAAAGGTCAGAATGGGATGGCACAGCCCAGCCCTCTGTGCTGTGTCCTCCAGGTTCTCTTTTTCAGTGGGTTTCGCACCTCCCTCTGCCTCCACAGGCCCTCCTGCAGCCTAATGGAGGGCCAGACCCCTAGGGCAGTGTCACCATAAGGACCCCTGGGGTCCTTCACTCTTCTCCACCCTTCTTCTCACTGTTGTGTGTCACGATGCTCACTCAGCCCTTTGTGTGGGAATCCCGTCCCGAGCCCACCAACACTCACATTGTCTCCTGCCCTGCCAGCTCTCCCTTCTACCCCCAGGGAGGAGAACTGGGCATTTGTCTCCATCATCAGTCTCCCCCTGGGGGTAATGGAAAGCCTGGGAAGGCAGAGCTGCATGCAATCCAGGCTGGCAGCGTTTGCCAGGATGCTGATACCTGTAGGATTGCTGTGTCACCGCTCCTTAGGGCAGTGGCAGTGGGAGGATGCCTGGGTTTGAGTGTCAGGGAAGGGTTTGTTTATTAAGGACATGGCTCCAGATGATGTTGTGGTGCTGGGGCCCAGCCTGAACAAAGCAGGGGAGCAGGACAAATGAATTCCAGCTGTGCTCACTGCCATTCCCTGCTCTCTTCATAATGCAGGCAAATACAGCATAGAATTTATATAAATAGTGTAAGGAATAGTGAAGCTAGAGGCTGGCTTTATTAAATAGTTCTTATTTAAGAAGCTTCAATGCTACCAGGGATATGTGTGCCCTCAATCTGCTGTCACAGTGATACAACTCAGCCAGATCTGAGTGCAGCCTTGTCCCACAGCACTGCTTTTTCTGCAACTACACAATATATCGATCCATGATAACATCATTCTCTCCTCCTTCCTCCTTCAGGCAGCTGAATTCTTGCACCTGTTGGCTCAGTTTAATGATATGGGCTTCCAGCAAAATGAAGTCAAAGAAGTTCTTTTGCTTTGTGGGAATCAGAGCGAGAGGGCACTGGAAGAGCTTGTGATGAAAACCCACTGAGCAGCATCCTGGAGCAGTCACAGCTTCCCCTCTCCACATCAGACCAGAAGGACTCAGGTGATTCTGCTGCTCCATCCCCGCCCCTGGAAGCACCAGACACACAGCTTCAAAGTTCTGCCTTGGTGTCTCATTTTATGGACATTGATCCTAAGAGTGTTTTTCATTCAGGCACTGAGTGCATAGCAGGAATGTTTATCTCCTCACCCACACATCCCCACCCTTGATCATCTCAGCTATTCAGATTAGAGATGATCCAAACTGCCTTCGGCTTAGATTTTTGCAAAAACCAAACCAAACCAGTGTTCTCCCTCCACCTGGGGTGATGGGTGTCATGTTTTCAGCTAAAATCAAGTGGGGATTCTTAAAAGATTATATAAATCAACAGAATAAATTGTTTTCCTAAAATCAGAAGGCTCCTGCAGGAACATGTGTTAGTCCTGGCTTGGGAGGAGTCTCAGCTGACTTAGTCATGGTTGAATATTGTAATTTAAATCCACTTTGATCATATTAGCTTCTCCTTTTAAACCAGAAATATGAGGAAAATACACAGTTCCATGTGGATAAAGAAAGAAAACAAGCTGCCCTTGCTCTGAAATACATGAGGTTTATCCAGTGCAATGGAAACTGGTGGAGGAAAAGGTTTGTCCTCAGGCAACTTCATGAGATCAGAACAGAGAGATGGGGAACTGCTCACTGCCCTCATGCTCTGCCCAAATCAGGAAAATTCAGGGGATGCTTCCCTAAACTGTGAAGACAGTGGTTCCAAATGAAGTGAAGCATGAATGTCAGCATCAGGAACATCTGGATGCCCAAGGGAATTTTTGTGTGTAACTGAAGGACAGAGAATGGGAGATCCAGATCACTGTACAGGATGTGTGTCTTGGCTTGGCAGTGGAACAGTGGACAGTGTTTTCACATAAAGTGTGTTATTTTCTTGTGAATTAGAAACAGATGTAATTTCTTTGAGTAAAGATGCTTGGGGGGTTCTTCTGCAACATTTCTGTTTTTCTGTCAGCATGCCAACTGGCACAACCCAGCAGAGAAAATCCTTAGCTGTATTCGTACCATTTTCCATTGTGCCCTTCCAAACAATCTCCCAGTGCAATGTGCTTCCATCAAGGTAAAACACTATGTCCCTTCTCCTTGGATCTCCAGGTCGGTGCCAGACAACAACAGGAAGGTACAGCTCTCTATTGCTGCCTTCATTCTTGCCTGGATGCAACAAGGAAACTTGGCATCCATGATTTGGGGGAGTTGACCCATCCATCCCCAAGGATGTTTTATTCCTGCTCTTCTTTAATGGCATTGAAACAGAAAATGTGGTACCCTGTATGTCGTAGGGATATATTCCTGGGGAGCCCTTTTCTGAACTCCCAGCCCTGTTTTTCCTCCTGCTTTCCCTTGGTTATACAAGCTTTTATTTTTGATACGGCCCATATAAGGCAAGTCCATCTACAGACAGCTTTTCCTTACATTCCCCCTTGCCAAGATGATGTCACCTTAAAAACGAGACTTGCAAAAGGTTAAGCTGTGATCAGGCAGAGTGCGTCACCTCGAACTGTGATCTTTGGCGGAGCAAACACCGTGAGGATGGAGAGGAGAAGATAAGGGGGCTGTGCTGGTGCCAGTGGTGCTGAATTCTGGTGGAGCAAAGCACCCTGGCAGCATTGTGCCAACTCACTGTGCAAAGGCTGAGCAGATTCTCGCCCTCCTTAGTTTGCTTGGTCCTGGATCTTGGATCATTTCTTGCAGAGGTAAGAAATGTATCTTTTTTACCTCCCTTTGCACCTAAAATTATTTTGGTTTTCTTTCTGGATCACAGTCTGGATTGATGGATGCAACAAATGGCTCTGGGGAGCATCCATGCCATACTCAGCTGCCTGCCAAGACTCTTACCTTCAAGTGCTACACTTAAAATCTTAAAACTTTTTGCATTTTGTTGACAAATTTCTTTGTAAACCCCTAAACTGTCAAGAAGCAGCATGTGGAGGTGAGGAGAAGGTTGTATCACTTGGTGTTGGAGCTGAAGGGTTCGGGTGAGCCTGCCAAGTTCTGTGGTCTAGGGTTGGCCACAGGAACCCAACATAAATATTTTAGCAACAGAATTATTTTAACTTCATTTTAATGGATGTTTAAACTGTTTGTTCAGCTTAAAATTGTTTTAAAGCAACATGTTTCCATGTGCTGCTCTCAGGAGAAGACAATGTGAAATGTTAATTCACAGAATTCTGTGAATTGTGTGAAATGTTAATTGGCTTTGTCTGGGAAGCGGACAATGATTTGGTTTGATGGGTTGCTCTAACATGCCACCTGGGGACTGCAATGCTGCTCAGCTCACAGTGCCCACAGTGCAGAGCTGGGACAGGTCTGTCAGTGTCCCCTGCCTCCCCCGTGCCACCACCAGACCTGCAGCTCCACCGGCAGCAGTCCCCTCATGGGTGACATCGGAGTGGTGGCCTGGCCCAGTGGCAGAGAGCAAATGGGGACAAGGCACATCCAGTGGTTTTCCATCTGGCTGTGGGTGCAAGCTGGGGTTTTCTGGTTTGTTTTGGTTTGCAGTTGTGTTGAGTGGGTTTATTCTCAAATGCGGGAACTGTTTTGAAAATGCTGAGAACTTGGCGGGGATCAGCAGCGGAGATATCTGAGGCATCCCAGCTGGTATCCCTTCTGCTCCCTCCCTGCCTGGACAGCACAGGCAGCCCAAAGCCTGCCCCATGGATGGGAAACCAGCTGAGCTGCTGCCCTGGTCCCTGTGGTCACAAAGGGGAGCTCTCTGCTACCCAGCCATCCCCAGAGCTGGTGCTGAGGGCTGTGAACCCTCAACACCAGGTAGTGGGATGTGATGGGAACAGATCCTCTGGCTGTGGAGCTCTGCAAGCCTGGTATCACCATGTAATGCCTCCCTAGCCCTCATTCCCTTTTGGCACTCTCTGTACTTCCAAGCTTTGCCATGTCCTCAAAAGACCCTGATTTGGCTCAAGCAAGTCTCTGGTGAGAGCCACCACTTGCCACCCTGTTGGGTCCGTGCTGGGGCTTGAGGTGGGTGATTGATGGTTCCCAGGTCCCAGAAAACCCTTGGCACATTAAGCACCTGAAGCCCAGGAGCTGCTTTCCTTCATTCCCCATCTCCCCTCCTCCTCCCAGGACCCCACTGCAGCCACAGAGAATTCCCAGGGGAGTGCGGGGCTCTGTGGGAACCGCACTCCCACGTAAGGCTCTGAAACTGGGCCGCAGCTGAAAAAGCATTGGGGGCAGAAGCGAGTCCTGACACAGATCTCTGTTAGGAGGAATTTTCCTTCAGAAGCACGGGAGGAAAAAAATCCACAAGAGTAAATGAAAAACACAGCAATGAGAAGCTTTTCTATAGCTTTCCTTTTAATTCCGGCATGTAATGAATGATTTCCCATCAAGGCAGAGAGGAGGTGGAATGCTGCACACCCTCAGAGCACAGTCAGAATAAATAAATCCCATGTTTGCATCTCTGTGGTATCTGTCCTCTGCAGGAGCCACAATGTCCTGCACACAGCTGGGTTGTGAGCTCATGGCTAACAGGACTTTGTGCCCGTGCAGGGCAGGAAGAGGCAGACAGCAGCTGCCTTTCCCTCTGGCAGGGTCTAATGTCACCTCCAAGGTCCAACATGATGCATCCCTGGACCTGAGCACAGTTCCATGGGGGAGGAGAGGAGCCAAGGGGGGCAGTGAGTGCAGAGCTGAGGCCATGTGCAAGAAGAGCATCCTGACATGGGATGGGGGACCAGCTACGTCGCAATGTCATGGTCACGCCTTGGCAGCCGCAGGAGGAAAGTCTGCAGGGAGCCGCTGCGTGGGAAACCTGCCCGCTCCTTCTTCTGCTTCCAGGTCTCCTCTTCCACGGAGTAGAGGAGCGTCAGCATCTTGTTGACGGTGTAGATGGTGTCACCCCTGACGATGGCGGTGAAGAGAGCTCCCTTGCTGTTCATGAACTGCCCGGGCAGGGCACTCCACTGCCGGGACGTCAGGTTGAAGCAGTCGATGACACAACGCAAGAAGTCGTCGTAGGGGCCGTTGCGCATGACGTAGAGGTTGTCACGATGGGCCACCATGCAGTGCCCGTAGCTCTGGTGCCGCTTGAGCTCGGTGATGGGAAGCCACGCGTCTTGCTGGGTCTCGTACTCGTAGATGACAGTGGTGTCCAGTGGCTGCCACAAGCAAACGAAGATCTGCCCCAAGGCTTGGGCACAGGGCGCTGCCGTGCTCGGTTGCGGCAGGTCAGAGACGAACGTCCAGGTGCTGGAGGCCAGGTCGTACCTCTCCACGGACTTGAGCGAGATCTTCTCGTACTCGCCACCGATGGCGTAGAGGTAGCCCTCGTGGCCCACCAGCCTGACATCGTAGCGCAGCTGGTGAGGGCTGGGGAACTCGCTCCAGGCATTGGCATCAGCATCGTAGCAGAAGCTGCTCTCCACCACCTGCTTGTTGGCCCCGTAGACGCCACCCACGATGTAGATCTTATTATCCATGGTTGCCATGCCGGCTAGGAATGTGCTGGCGCTCAGCGGAAGGCAGGAGAGGGTCCTCCACGTGTTGGTCTCCTCGTCCAAGTAGCAGATGGTCCTGGAGAGGTCCTCCAAGAACTCGAAGGTGGGTGTGTGGGCACCCACTGCCACAAAGGTGCTGGGTAGGAGGGCTTCCACATAGGCCAGCAGGTCATCGGGGAGGCAGTCCAGGTACTCCTCCAGCTCAGCGTAGCTGTCCCTGATGTAGAGTGCAGCGCAGTGGAAGAGATCCAGGAGGCCGAATATGGCAGCGGCTTGGTACAGCAGGATGCAGTTGTCAGAATTGATGGAGTGGATTAAGTACTTGGCCAAGGGCTTCACCTGCAGGAAGGCAGCACATTCCACTGCCTGGAAGGTCTCCTCACTGCCAAGGACGGGCCTCTCGCCCGCCAGCACCCGCAGCATGGCGAGGAACCCGGCTGCACTCAGCTCCCCCAGCCCAATCTCCTCCTGAGTGCTTTCCCTCATGCCTGAGCGGAAGAGGGCACGGAAGTACTCACTGCTCTCCACCAGCAAGGTCTTCTCCACCGAGAATGACTGTTCCTCCACCCGGATACGCACCCGCTCCGGGGATCCTGCCTGGGAACCTTCCTCTTCTGGGGTCATCCTCGCCTGGGACCTCAGCAGCTCTCAGGGGTGGGGGAGGACCTGATGCCCCTCGGTGCTGTGCCCCTCCACAGCCTTCTCCGGCCTTCTCCACCCTTTGATGCCTTTGCTTCACTGCCCGGCAGCCTTGTAATATAAATACCTTGGGCTAAAGATAGCTGAGCTCGTGACCAGGGCCCTTCAAAGGAATCCACCAGGCTCAGCTGCCCCCCCCAAACTCAGGCAGGGTTCCAGTGTCACCAGCCAGCACTGGGCACGGCAGAGGTGCCTAGATCATCCCATAAAATATGCCCAGCCACTCAGGAGAAACCGGGTTTTGCTGTCTCCCCTCTCAGGGATCCTCCTTATGATGCCCTAAGGAACAGTCTCCAACCTGGGGAGGGCAACACACTTGAATGGCTGGGAAGAACATCTGGCCACACTATTTTTTTTCCCTTTAAAACATAGAGTTTACAGCCCAGGGAGATTAACAACATCAGCAAATCTCACTGCCACCCAGCTTGGCCATGGGAAAGGAGCTTGGCTGTTTCTCAAGTGTTGCCATGGGTAGGGAGAGACCTTCCTTTGTGACCCTCCCTATAGCAGCAGCATCTGCAACATCCATCCCAGCTGCAAGGAGCCATAAGCCAGCCTGTGCTTCACTTGGGGATCTCATGGTGAGAAAAAGGAAGTGCAGCAACCTCTTCTCACCAAAAAACCTCTCCTCTGGCTTCAGGGCTTGTCCAGCTCCCCATAATACCTGGCTGTGGGAAGAGATAAACCTCTCTTTACTGACCCAGTGCTTGAGAGTGAAGAAAAGTGTCATTTGTGTCACATCACTTGTTTGTGTGCTAATCACAGATTTTTCTGGCTAGAAATCCCATTTCAGCTCCGCCATGGAGTGCCAAGGAAGGCTGACATCAGGGGTCACCTGGGGGCTCCTTCCTGGATCTCCCCATTACTACCTCTGATTAGTTTGCAGCTGGTGTTTTCTTTTGATGAATAATTTAACCTGAGCATCTCATCCTGTTGAAGGTCTTTTTGCTCCCTCCTTAACGCCCTCATCCCAGCAGCTGGGAACTTTCCAAGCAGTGCATGATGGCAAAGCTATTGCCTCAGAGTCATGGCCACAGCAGGTTCTCCCAAAAATCGGACTTTAGGGGAGAATGGGAGAATTTTGCACTTGCACCACTGTCATTGATCCTCATGGATATCCAGCTTAAAATACCATGTTTAGTTCCAATTGCTTTTAAGCATCCTAGACCTGTGACCAAAGGGGGTCTGGGGTAAAGGGTCCTCAGAGGGGCTCTGTTTCCCGCAGGGGAGTTATCCCCATCCTCCCCATCCCCGGGGCTTGCAGGGACTTCCACACTCCCAGACTATTTTGGGAGGGTTTAAAAATATCCTGCCTGTATTAACGGGCAATATTCCCAAGGGCGCAGCAGCCCCGCATGGCCACGGAGCAGCCTTGTCCCCCCAGCCTCGGCTGTGGCCCCCCCGCAGTCCCTCGGGGCCGCATCCTGTGGTCCCGGGCATCGAGCCCTATCCCAAATGGCTGTGATCACCATGACAACGCTGACTTCAGCCTCCGCCACCTACTCGGGCTCAGAGCCACTGGGTGCCGGCTGATGGATTGCTACGGGCACTGGTGAGTACTCCCCGGGCTCCCTCTTCCTCTTGGGACCGAGTCTTTTGGTTGGGAAAAGGGTATTTAAAATCTCTGCCTCGAAAGCCTCTGCCGGGAGCAGAAGGTGTCGGTGCTTAACCGCGCCCGAAGGAGCCGGGCAGGTGGTGCGCGGGATGGCACAGGCAGCTCCGGGCGCTGCTCCTGCCTGCCGGAGGTGTGATGAGTTCGCCGGCCTCAGACAGGACAGAGGGACCAGGTTTGGGCTGCTGGGGACACGGCGAGGAGCTGAGGGCTCACGAAAGTACCGGGACATGGCGAGGTGGCCACCAAGCCGAAGCACTGCAGGTCTCGGGCCCGGGGGTCCCTGCCCGGAGCCGGGGGAGCTCGGGGTGCCGCCTGTGCTCTGCCGGGGGGACCGTCCTCGGGGTGGCCGGGGCAGCGTGTCCAGCCCCGCGGCGTGGCTGCTTTCCTTACAAGGAGTTTGGCTGGAGCCCGAGCAGCGGGAGCCGCGCTCGCCTCCGCCTGCCTCATTCATCGCAGCCCCGGCCGTGCAGGGGCCGCTGCTGCCCCGGCCCCGCGCTCACGGAGAGCCCCGCGTCCCCTCCGGCCGTGGGTTTTAAGGTGGGAGGTACGTTTCTTTTCTCTTCTCTTTCTGGGGTGTGATGGGCGGGCAGAGGGCTGGGGGGTCCTTCTCTTTCGGTGGGGTGCTGGCTGCCACTGTGGGATGAGGATGCCAGCCTGGCTCCAGGATGCGGATGGAAGAGAGGGGATCGCCCACCCTGGCGCTGCTGAGCCGCTCTCTACCCCAGGCTGGGGCACCCACGAGCCACACAGTGAGGAGGTCCCTGTCCGACCTGGCAGCGGGTGCTCCATGTCCCCCCGCTCTTTCCCGCAGGACCGAGGATGTCCTCGATGTTCGGCAAACCCCGAAACAGCAGCGAGCGGCCGCCCCAGAGTCCCCTCCCCGAGTGCAACGTGGCCATCCTGGGGTGCAGAGGGGCCGGCAAGTCAGGTGAGACGGGCAGGGCAGGGCAGGGCATCGGGGAGCTGCGTGGCACCTGCCTCACCTGCCTCTTTCACCTCCTGTAGCTCTGACCGTGAAGTTTCTAACCAAGAGGTTCATCAGTGAATATGATCCCAACTTGGGTAAGTAAGGCACGTCCTTATCCCATGGAGCATTCTTCCCATCTCCGATGTTTCCCATGAATGTGGCATGTAAAGAGAAAAAAAAAAAAAAACCCACCCAAAATTATATAAAAAACAACAAGAAGAGCTGGATTTGACCCAAAGCCATCTGCAAAAACAGAGGTGGAAGGAGTGCCCTCTCTAGGGGGACTTCCCATGGGAACGTTGGCTCCTTGCATTGCCCCCAAAAAACCAAAAGCTGAATTTTTGAGGCTCTTTCAGGAGCATCTCATGTCTATTGCGCAGGGGAAAGGCTGAAGAAATGAGGACGGGCACAGCAGGCGACCCTGGGGCTGAGTTTTGCAGTGAGCAGTTCTGGGCATTTTTTTTTCAACTCATTTGAGAAATTAATAACTATTTTCCTAGGCCTGACTCCAGGCTGTGGGGAAGAACCATAAATGATTTATCGGGGACATTAAGGAGATGTGGACCTTGTCCAAGAACCAACTCCAGCCCCTAATAATTCAGTGACTCTTAGAAAGAAGGATAAATCCTTTCTTCCTTAGATATTTTTGGGAATGTGGTTTCATCTTCCCATGTCAAAACCTTTCCGAAACGCATCCGTTAAAAGCTGGCCCAAAGAAAACATCTTTCTCCTGGGGGAATGGCTCAATGGCTCTCCCTGCCTGCCTTCCTTCCAAAAGAAAGGACTGTTCTTCTCTCTTGATTTATTGGGAAACAGTCCCATGTCAAGCCTCCAGATTGCTTTATCTCATCAGGCCGTGGCTTTTAGATAAGGGCCAGGCCCTGGGTGCAGTGGTTGTTGTGCCAAGCTCCTTCCCCTCCCTCCTTCTCCTGTGGGAGCCCACACTTGCAGCACATGGGGAGAAATAAGCGCTCCTAGCCAGGCTTGCCCAGCAACATCACCACCAGTCCCCCAAAATAAAGTTGTCTCAGGAGGGAGTAAGGTGGGAGGCATTGGTGGGAGGATGCTTCTCATCAGGGCTGAAATTTTCCCGTGGTGTCCCAAGCATCCTGGGCTTTGCATGGCCTTGAAGAAGACAGAATGTGCCAGTCCATCCTCACAACCACCCTTCTTCTTGCAGAGGACACCTACTCCTCAGAGGAGCTGGTGGACCAGCAGCCTGTGCTCTTGAAGGTGATGGACACTGCTGACCAGGTAAGGCATTGTGGGGGTGATGACCAGCTGGACCATGGCTTGACCATGACTGGACTGCAGCTCAGCCACTCCTCTCACCCCCAGGATGGCCCCGGGAACTGCGAGCGCTACCTGTGCTGGGCCAGCGCCTTCCTGGTCGTCTACAGCATCGACAACAGGAAGAGCTTCGAGGGCTGCCAGCGCTACCTGGAGGTGCTCGCCCTGCACACGCAGGGCTGCCAGCGCCGCTGCCCCGTGCTCCTGCTGGGAAACAAGCTGGACATGGAGCAGTACAGGTACCGGGCACGCGGTAAGGCTGCCTGCTCCCCATGGGAGAGAGCTCACAGATGCCCATCCCTCCTGCTGGGATGCAAAACCCAAATCTGATTTCTTCATGGGTATTTCCACCCCCATTAGTATTCGCAACATCCTCCCACATCCCTAAAGTTGCTGTTCTCCTGCCTGAGGGCTGATGTGTTTATTTTGAGCCCGTTGATATTTTCAGTAGGATGTTTTTGGCTGAGTGGTGAGGCAGCGTCACCATCCCTTGCAGGGCTTGAGCCAGAGGAGCCCCTCTGGACATGCCCTTCCCTTCCCTGGAGCCTTCTAGTTCCAGCCCCACTGTCAGGACTGGATGTGCCCAATATGTTTTTCTGGCCTTTTGTGCTGCTCTGTGGTCCCACGGGCCCGAGTCACGTGCATTGCTGGAACCCCCTTGCTCCCACGATGGAGGTATCCCCCTCCCCACAGCAAGGACCTGCCCCATCTCCTCCTCCTTGCTTCCCAGTGCACTGTCATCACACTCACCCCTGGGTTCATGGGACACATCCCTCACAGGAGAAGATATGTGATTCCCCAGGGACACAAAGAAGCCATTACTCTGGGATTTTGGGAAAGGCAAAACTCTTTTGGACTCATGTACCTGTTTGTCCCAGGGCAGGGATGGGCAGGTGCTACCTTGGTGCTCTTTGGGAAGGAGGCGTGGGATGCATGATCTGTCACCTGCACCTTTTTTGGGTGGCTGCTGTGCTCCAAGGGATCCTGCACCCATCCCCTCCCGTCTCGCCAGGCAGGTGCTCTCAGCAGAAGGGATGTCCCTCGCCAGCAGGTTTGGGTGCCTCTTCCATGAGGTGTCAGCGTGCCAGGATTTCGCTCGGGTGCAGCACATCTTCCACGAGGCCGTGCGGGAGGTGCGGCGCCAGGCAGAATGGAACCTCCCCGTGCGGCCACTCTTCATCTCTGAGGAGCGGCCCTGCCTGCCCGTGGCCACGCCGGTGGCCCTGCCCACCCACCACAGCTTGGCCACCTGCACCTTCAACACCCTCTCCCCTGTCAACTACAAGGAAATCCCCTCGGTGGCCCAGGCCAAGCTGGTCACCGTCAAGTCCTCACGGGCTCAGAGCAAAAGGAAGGCTCCCACGCTCACCTTGCTGAAAGGCTTCAAGATATTTTAGGACACATCCCTGTGGGCTGCAGAGAGGGAGAAGAGAGACCCTCATCCACCCCCCAGCTTCACAGCAGATGGGACCTTCTATGATGGACTCACAGGCACTACAGCAGCTGCTGGCAGACGGTGGCCCCGGTCTCCGTGCCGGGGCAAAGCCAGCAGTGGCAACCTGGCGAGCAGGCAGAGTGCCAAGGGTCTGACATGGGCTGTGGCATCGCTCTGCCTGCCCCTGCCCGATGCTGCTGTGGTGTTTGCACCCTGTCCTGCCACTGCCACTGGGGCCAGCCCAGTTTTCTGTGAGGATGCAAAAGCTCCCAAAGGAGCCAGAGCTGTGGATACCATTGGGAGGGGAAGGGCCAACCCCATGGCCACCAGCCAGCTTGGGCACCTGGCCCACAGCTACAGGAGCCCAGGAATGACGAACTAATCATTAATCCAGCATGGAGGCACCCATCTCGTTCATCCCACAGATACCCGACTAAGCAATAAGTAGGAGGAGTTTTTATTTTTTTTTTAAATCCAGATAAAAAAGGTGCAGATACTGTTTCAGCTGCTTAAAGGCCTAAGGTGGCCTGAAACTCATACCTGCACATCAAGCTAAGTCACACCAAAATTGCTGCTTTTTTGCTCAACTATTTTACACTATAGCATCCCTTTCCAAAGTCTTTGCAAAGAGATGCTTTGCTGACAAGGACGTGGTCTGCAAAGCCCGTGTTTAAAAGACTGATGTATTTCCAATAATGTCCTAAATTATTTCATGGTTTCTACACATGCCCAGTGGAGGACACAAAGGGAATCCTGGAGCAGACCAGGCTCTACCTGTGCCCAAGCCAGGGTCAAGGGCTAGATATTTGGTTTTAGGTGCTCTATCAGAGTAAATGTTCTGCTTCTCCATGGAGTCGCAGTTGCTTTGCAGAGTAAAATATCCATGTGTATATTTGTACATATAGCCATATAAATATATATATATGACCTTACTGACAGAGAGATTTAATATGGCATTTTGATCAACCACTTTGGAAAGTATTTTAATAAAGAGGATTCTGAAAAGAAGAAAAATGTCTCAGCTTCAGTGTTGCTGTTTTCCTGATGGGATGTGAGGGTGCTTTCCCTGGCTGACTGCAGGCCAAGCTTCCCACTTACTTCCCTGGCTCAGTTCCCACCTGTTTGCAGCACCTGGGGAAGGAGATGAAGCTGGCACTGGAGGGAAGGCTGGAAGCAGCCAGAGCAGTGGGGGAACACCAGCCAGGCAGGAGTTGAGCCCAGGGCCCCTCCTGCAGGTGCAACTCTGCTGCTTTCTTGTTTCACCCTTTTGTTTCTCCAGGCTAAACTGCATTTTTAAAATTGCACCTCTGTGAATTGAGACATTCTGATATCCTCCTTAAGGCCTAAATGGGATGATTCCAGCTGCCACTACATGGCCTCCTCAGACATCACTGTGTACAGGGACGTGACAGTCCCATCCTTCCACTGGACTGTCACATCCCCTGGTCTCTGGTCCTGGGGCCCTGGCTGCTGCTGTAGTGGCTCAACCTGGCTGTATTCCTGCACAGGCATCAGGGCTTGCTTGGCATCGAGGTCAGTCTCCTGTGTGGTTTGTGCTGCTTCTCCATTCACAAGGATCTTCCTTTTCCTGCAGGGAAGGCACAACAAGGACACACAAAGTGGAGCAGCAAGCCCAGCCCACATCTGAGGGCACCCAGCCTGGTGAGGGTCACAGCCATCAATTTACACGGTGTTCCTGGAACACGCCAGCTGCTTGTGGGCAAACGCCGCCAGGTGAGCTGTGTAAGGTAAGTGCTCTGGAGTGTTTGAGCACACACAGATGTGGGATTCGCACTCGGAGAGCACCCAGCTCCTGACGCCAGGAGCAGCACGCAGCCAGCCATCACTAGAGGGAGAGCGAGGCAGGCTCGCAGCGTTAGCTCTTCTCTCGTCTGAAGACGGCAGCTCTGACACAGTGCTAAGTTTTCGTGCCTTAGCAAACAGCGAGTTTCTTCTCATCTGCGGGGTTGTGCAGCAACCAGGGAACTGTGTGGGGATATGGATAGGCTGGGAGTCCTACTCCAGAGCCCCTGTACTTAGGGGAGAGCATCTCACACCACCGTTATCATCACTTCCCTCCCAGCAGCCCTGTTGGGCTGGGCAGAGCTCTGCAGACCTTTATTTGATCCAGGGCCCAGAGAAGGGACTTGTTCCAAGTGACACAAAGTGAGCAGGCATCAGGTAAGCTTTTATAACAAAAAATGGTTCAAAGGGAGTTTGTCTTTGCTCTTCTCTCCATTACTCAGGGCTTCTCCTGCCCTGCCAAACCCCTCTGTCTGTTTGCCTGGGAGGCTTTCAGGGTACCACCACACACCAAAAGATTCTCAAATTTTCCTGTCTCACCTGTTTCGCACAATGTTAATGGTCAGAAGAACAAGACCCAAAATCATGGTCGCAAGGGAAAGCGCAAGAACAGAATAATTCCATGTTGAGGCTGAGGGAAAGCAGAGAGACAGTGTTAGCAGGCAGCACAGTGTGACCCACAGAGCCTGGCCAGGGGTTTTCTGAGGACATCCAAGATGCTCTGTCCTCAATTTTTGTAGCTTTGAAGTTGATCCTCATGACGCTGACTTGCTGCTATGTCAATCTGCTCCCTCCACCCTGCCAAAATCACAAGAGACCTTTGCTCTCTTGGCAGGCTCTGCCTGGAAAGAGGCTGAACCTCAGAGACACTATCTCAGCAAAGCCTCCTGACTGTCTTCACCTATGGCCTGCTTATTCCAGAGGCAAGACTGAGGGTTTGTGTGTCTGGGGTAAATCACCTCCTCAGGCAGTGCCCTCAGACATCTCAGTTAGGCAAGAAAGTTAACAGCCTGTGCCTCAGCCCAGGAGCACCAATGGGACTTACGGTCTTCTCTGCGGAAGAACCAGAGCAGCTCCTCCAGCTGTTCCTGTTCCAAGCCCAGTGGAAGGGTAACGTTGCCTGTTGCGTGCTCGTCCAAGTGTGTGCTGGCCATGGTGGTTGGGAGGTACTTGTGCTCTGCCTCAGCTGTGGTGGAAAGATGCAGCCCTTCAGACTGAAAGTGACCTTTCCCTTCACTCCCAGGATTGCCCAGCACATCTCTCCAAGCAGGCAGAACTCAGCCCTGAGCCTGATCTCATGCAGTGGGAAGTGGAAAGTGTTTTTGGCTGCAGACCCCATTATGGTGAGGCAGCAGGGCTGCAAAGACTTCAGAATGCTGGTAGGGCCTTTCCACATTCCTCATCTCCCATCAAGGAGAGGCAGCTTCGTGTGCCACAATTCACCAAAGAGTTGCCTTGCCAAGACCAGTCCTGGAAATCTGACTCTGGACCACAGTCCTCCAGCAATAAATTCCTATTCATCAGACTGGCTGTATACACAACTTGACTCTAGCATTTTTTAATCAAAAAAGCTTCAGTGTCTTCAAAGAAACCAACATATAAATGTGGCCAGCCCCAGGCACAGAACATACACACAGAATGCAGATGGGAATGACACCCAGTTCTGGAACTGGGGTGCAATTTTTTACTTGGCTCAGTCAGGCTGCTGCTGGTGTATACTGAGGAAAATAGCCCCATAGAAAGAAAGAAACTGTATTTCCAGGAAGTTAAGGTCTTTGCACATATGACCTACTTTACCCACACCATTATCCTTTAAGCTAAGACTCTACCTTGCAGCAGGAAAAATGGGATTATCCAGAAGAACTTCATATTTGTATATGCAGGTGGGATGGATCACACCTTCACAGTATTTCTTCAGTGTGGAGATGCCTGCAAAATACAGAAAAACTAAGGAGTTGAGAGAGAACCTGATTCCCCTCCCTACTCAGCTCTTTTCAGAGAGGAGATCTCATGTACTCCAGCATCTGTTTCCTCCTGAGAACATGAGTCTGACCTGCCAGGACAGGGTGCAGGAATCCCTGGACCACCGAGGTGATAGCAGAGGGGGTCTGGCACAGCGTCTGCTGCCCAGGTTGGACCCCTTGCGAGGTGAACCTGTACAGGTGTGAGCTCAGCTGCTGTGAGCCAGCCCCTCCCCAGCTAACAAAGCTTCCCTGCTTGTTCCCCTGCCATAATCTCCAGAGAATATATACTTTGCATGTGACAACCTATTGCCAACCCATGGATGGCAGAATATGGGTGTGGAGATGAGGAAGTGGAAGGCTGAGCTCCAGGAGGAGGCAAGGCTGGCTTGCCATTGAGGCTGTGGTGTCTCCCATCCCTCCGGGAAACACAAAGTCCTCCTTGACCTTTAGTCCCTCATTTATTAGTGGCATCAATCCAACTTTTATGGCTGCTTGTCCAAATTAGTTCTTCGGAGTCCTTGGAAGGGACCTGCCCTGAGCAGGGGTTCCTGGCTGTCCTGGTGAGACATTGAGGTGGCTCTCCCCAGCCCACTGCTCGCTGGCCATCACCCTCTGGCAGGTCAGTGACGCCACAACACACATGCACCCCTCAGACATTCTGGCCCCACAGGCCATTAATTATTATATGAAGACTTTTACGTCAGTCTGATACTCCCAGCTTTTACCTGCCTTTGCTGTGTGGCCTGTTGCTGTCTGAAACTTGCCCCCAAGCATGTTCCACTGTGCCAGGCGTGTCAACAGCACAGTTGCTGACTCCTCTGGGAAGCATTTGTCCTGTCGGTTATAGACCTAATGATTGCTACTATTTCCCCCCCCATTCTCAATGTCTTCACAATTCAAAGTTCACATTTTATAGCTAACCAGGCATTCAGGCTTACTCCCTGCTGCCAGAAAACCACTTCCTAGCAATTCTTTGAGGAGGGGACTCTCAACTATGCAGTCCACTCTGTATTTCAGAAAATACGAGTAAAGCTGCTCCCTGTAGTTAGGTGTGCCAATTACCCTTCCATCCAGGTAACCTTGAGTTTATTTACATGGATCACCCCTCACAAAGGAGGAAATAAAGTCTTGGTGCCAATGAAAATAAGTTACAAGTCAGCTGCACCCTAATAAGAAGTGGCACTTGAATGTGTTAAATCTTGCTGTGCAAGGCTTCTGAGTAATCATTTGCTCAAAGAGGAATATTTGACAAGCATGTTGCTGATTTTCCCCTAAGGTGTTTCATAAGCTATGGGCTACCTCCTGGTGTCTGTGCACAGCAGGGATGCTAGAAAGCTGGTGGAAGTACTTCGCTACTTCATCAAGTAGTGACCAGCAGCCAAATCTCCCCAGACATGGGAGGCCAGAACTTTGTGGGTAAAACACAGCAGCAGAATGGATACTTATTGTGCATTAACAGGACATTTAAGTAAAAGAGTTTAAAACTTCTGTTATTTTAGAGATCTTTTATATCTAAGTCACATTAACAAATTTAGTTTAATTCAGAAAGCTACAAAGCAAAGTATTCTCAGGTCAGTGTGTCTACTCCAGCGGACACTGAGCAGAATTCTGCCTAAATCACCAGTTTCCCCAGTAAGAAAACAGTGACTCCTAGAGTTGGGCTGGACATGCTCTGAGGAGTTTGGATCTTCCAGCCTGGAAGAGATTGTTAAAGGCATCTCCTCCAGCCTCTGCCACACAGCTGCTCTGTCCTGCTGCCCACATCCCAGTGTGGGCAAGCCCTGCTCCACGAGACCAGCTGGGACAGCGTGGGAGATGTTCTTCCCCACTGCTCCCCTGCCTGCACATCTCAGCAGTGGCTCTGGTGGCTGATGGACAAGGATGAGCCCTTAGATCCAGGTCTCTGCAACTCCAAGCGTGCACTTTGGTCTCCTCTCCCACTGAAGGCACCCAAGACCCTTTCTGAGGTTGCTTCCCAGCTTGGATGCAACAGGGAAAGCTCAAATGAGAGAGAGCTCATGCATTTTATGCTCATATGGAAAGAGGCAGAAAGAACAAAGAGGCCAGTGCCTCTCAAGAAACATTTTACCTGTGTTATTTTGAGTTTATATTGACTCCTGAACATCTTTGTTATTTCTTTCTTCTTGCAAATGGGATTTTTAACATCAAAAGCTGCAAAATCTGTACAGTATTATGTATTTCAGGAACAAAGAGTCACACAACAATGCTATT